TTTTTCTTGGCTGGAAAGAAACTCATGAGGTTTCAGCTGGAGTTTTTCATTTTCTGTAGGAAGGACAGGGAATTAATTTCTGATCAGCTTTGCTCTGGTCCTTAAGGACTCTGAAGCCTCAGTTCAAGCAGGAGAAAACCAAAAGTGGGGAGAACTGCAGCCTCTTGTCTCATCCCATAGCTCCCACGGGAGCTTCTTGGGTCACTGCCTCCTCCATGCAGGCCCCATTACCTAAGCTGCAGGGCTTGATATATTTCCTGGGTATATTTACATCAGCTGGCTTATAGGAAAAGATATATTTAGGCCATCTACCACATGGCCAAAGTCAAAAAGGGTACTAAGAGAAGCAGATTGTTTGCTAACCTGACCCATCTCTAGATGTGGGCTGTATTCCCAACTCTGCTTATATGTGCTTATAGCACATCTGGGATCACAAAGCCTCGTATAACACATTTTAAATAAAGTCTTGTCAATGCTGGCTTATGTCTTTGGAGCTTTAAAGGAGAGAGTAGTATATGCATCTGCTCTGTAAATAAAGGATTTGGACCTGTATAGCTATCAAAATAAACCTTTGACAAGCTTTTAAACTTTCCTGACTTAAAAAGAAGTGCCTTCATCACATTAAAATAGAGGTACAGAATGGTAGTGGGTGGCTGCTTCTCGTGGCATCCTGCTCTCCTTGCAAGGAGAATGTGAGGAGCCTGAATGAACAACAGCAACAAAGCAGATGAAAAGTCTCAGTTTCAGCTGGACAAGCCCACTTTCATTAACTGAACAGCCTGTCTAGCTCATTTATTATGAATTCTGAATGCCATCCAAGTGGGAGAAGAACCTGAGCTGCGGTGTCAGCCATCAGAGGTCTCTGTCTAGCAGAGTCCTGCTGTCACAACCTGGGCAGGCCACCAGCACTGCTGTTGGAGTGATAAGCCTTTGGATAGCAGCTTGGCTTCCCGTCAGGGCTTGCTGGATGAATGTGGTCACAAATAGGAAGGGAAACACCTGTTGAGTATCTTTTTCCTTTCTTGTACTTTCCCCCTTGCCAGTTGGCCTACAGCATTGTGATTTTAGGATAAAAGTCACTTTCATGGTTTAGTTTTGATTTTTTTTTTCAACGAAAGCCTGTAAATCTAACCTGAACCCAGGACAGCACTTCTCTGGCACCTCTGTTGCAGCTGAGGGAGTTTGTAGGGTTGAAGGCCAGCTCTAGGAGCAGCTCTAGGAGGACTAAGAGACTTAGGAGCCCCACATTGGGGAAGGCAGCCTAAGTGAACGCTTCTCTCTGCCTCTTCATTAGACCAGCTCAGATCCCAGTCACCAGCTTCTACCTGTGGTGAGAAGGAAGCAGCTGCAGGAACAAAATGAAACATTGCAACAGCTCATCTAAAATAGATTATTTTCTGAAGCAGCCATTGCTAGTATACCCATAGATTTATACAGCCACTCTTGTGAATTAGATTAACATATAGTCTGGACTGTAATAATAACTTGAGTTAGAATATTATAGAGACTTTTTATTTTAAAGCTATTTTTTTTTAATGTTCTCTACAGACAGTTACCACTTAGACAAGTCCTATAATGAGTTTTTAGTTTTGTCTTCCTTCTCTTATTGAATGTGCTTGTTGACATAGAAGTTCTTGAAAGAGCAGATTCTGTATGAGATAAGTAAGCATGCTCTGTGTGGGCAGGGTCTTCACATTTCACAGAAAACTATGACAGTCCTATTCTTGGGCTGAGGTATTTTTCCACTGATGGGGAGTGGGGTATTCTAAGTTGTGTTTAGGAAACGAAGGTAACCTGGAGCCTAAAAATATACATTGCATTTGCAGAGAGCCTGTGAGCCTGTCAAGGGACCCGTTTTGTGATAGACTAAAACTCTGCAATGGTTGCACGTCTTGGATCTATTGTGGTTACAAAATCCACACCAATGAATGGCAGTGCTTATTGGAAGATTAAATCACAGCAGTCACACCTCTAGTCACTCTATCACTCACCCATTTTTTTGCCCCCTCTTTTGTCATGTCCACCTGCCATACCTGAGTGTGGGAGGTCCTTGGGCCCAGGACCAGCCTTTTCTAAGTACTGGCTTTACAGGTGCACCTTCCAGAGCACAGCCATGATTAATGATGGAGCCCCTGAAATGTTAACCTACACCATTGCATAATGGATGTCTGTTCTCTGTGATAGTAACAGTGACTAGGTATGGTTTTTTTTCTTGTTTTGCTAATCACAGTTTATACCAGTAAACCTAAACTGGGTTTCAATCTAACTTGTGGCACAGTAGTATTAGAATAAAACTATCAAGACAGAAATTAATGCTATTTTGCTGTACTGTTTTTCACAATAAAAGCTGTTACACAGAATTTCAGACTTCACTGCCAGTAAAGCAAAACCCCAAAATCTCAATATTTTATAAGCCAGAACTTTAATGTTGAGGACATGAGAAGTATCCTGTTAAAGCTATAGATATACATTTATATTTAAATTTATCTTTGCAAAACATGTAAAAAGAACTCCTTAACACTTTCCCTTTTTTTTTTTTTTTTCCTTACCTTTTTTTTTCTTTTTTTTAAGTAGCAGTACAACTGCAGTAATGCAAATCTTTACCTGCAGTGCCTGGTAGTGATGCTTCAGCAACTAAGCCACTTTGGGCCGCCTTTGATATTCTTATCCTTGTTGAATGATAATGATCTGCTTAAAATTTAGCTGGATCACAGAATAAGGTAATACTAAGAAGGAGTGATGATGGAATATGACATTTTATATGCTGTTAAATTTCAAGCTGCCCATCACTTTAATCATATGTAATTTAGTCCCAATGCAATATGTGCAGGTACAATTTTAAAATTAAGGTAACCACAGAAGTAAGTGTGGTAAAAATTGAAGCCGTTGGTTATAGCTGTGTAAGAGCAACTGAAATCAGGATAAGCCAATACAGAACTTGACTCTACATATCTTTGTATTTTCTTGCTTGTGTAAACTGGAGACATGCAAACTCAAATCTTTGCTGCTTTTTAAAGAGCATTGGATTTCTCAGTATGTATTTAAAGCTTTAAATGAAATAATGTATCTCTATTTTTATTATAAATCCACCTTTATCTTGAATTGAGGGGTTTGTTCAGTTTCAAAGTTGTGAGGAAAATTTGAGAAAGAGTCTCCATTATGGATCCCTTCAGATTTTAATTGACCACTCTCTCAAATGCATCCTTGCAAATAGTGTTTTGAGAGAGAAAAAAAATTGGGTAACATAAACTACCCCTTAACATTTCTTAATTACACTCCTCTGGGCGCCTGTTTTTGTGCATCAGGACTGAAGGAAATGCTGTCCCCAGTACCATGGAATGGTGGAGCTGATATAATGCATTTTCTGAAACACTTGAAAAACTAGAAGTATCTCTGTCCCTTGGAAAATCAGTGTTACCTTGAGATGTGTCTAATATCTGGCCTGCAACTGATTTGCACACAAATCCAGCAATTCTGTCAGGTTTGTCTACCTAGAAACTTAATTTGGGGATTTTATATTAATACCAGATACTTCACCATGGGCTTTTCTTCCTCCTGTATTTGGCTCCCTGCCACACTTCCATTCACAGACACCAATTCCAGCTGCCACTAGCCAGAGAAATACACAAATGAACATAAAAAAATAATAATTTACTGTCCTTGGCCAAACCCCTTTTAGAAGACACCCACCCTGATTAGAGATATATTACCCAAGGAGTAAATAGATGCAGGGAAAGA